TGCTAACCGTCGACAAAACAAAACCCGGAGTGTCGACATCGCGTGGTCAACATACCGTGACGGTGTTAATTAATGAAAGAGAATGTTTGCTTAGCGGTTTGCAAGTGGCTATGGCGGCTACAGCTATGCTCGTATCATGAGTAAATGAATTAAGTTGATTAAAAAGAATGTCTTTTTAACAATTTGCAAGAGAATTAAGGCTGCAAAAACAGACTATTATTTTACGTTATGCGAGTGGAAGGATTACCATTTTGGAGTTTAACATGCAACAACATCCGGAAAGAAACAGAGAGCTTACAAATTATTTTGTGATATTGGGAGTAGAAGAATTATTTTGTGATATTGGGAGTAGAAGAATTATCGAAATGCTGTTGTAAACATTAAGCATTTGGGTATATATAATAGATCATGAATATTTTGTTACCCATGTCAAAATGGCAAACGCTATGGTGCGCGTTACATTGATTGACAAAATTCATAGAGGTCAGAATCTTTACCACAATGGATTCAAGTACATTGTTATATTGACTGAATAACTATGTTGTCTACTATATATATCACACTCTGTTTTAATTGGTTTGTTAATTTCGATGACACTGGGAGTGAAGTCACTCATGTAGAACATCACCTCCCTTTTCCCGGACTGTCGACAAGTAATTTGGACGGATTATTTCTTGTTGTCGACAGTCCGGGCATAAACCGATTAATGCACTCCCTTACACAGGACAGTGGTGTATACGGTACTGTTTTCGGAGGTCCACTCTACACTTCACACGGGATGTATACACTCGGTCCGACCGTCTTGTGTCAGCGTTATCACGCTAAATCAAGTTTGGTCAGAACATGTTCCGTATGTCCGTCTGCTTACACTGGCGGGTATTAAAGCTAAGTTACATTCGATGTTTTATAAAGAAGCACCCACGGATGCTATGATATACCCCTACGGTAGTATCGTCTTTCACCACTAACGTCCTGTTAGCTGATATTTCTACTATGAAAGGTGACACATCTTACGTTTAGCCGACACAACCTGATAGACTGTCAGCGTATCGTTGATATGTTATGATTACTAAGATATCATGATAATTACGATATGAAAACGAAAGCCTGTTATTATGTTCACAGTGACAAAAGGAAGAACCTTCAAGATTCGTATGACGAGAGGGATGACCTCGTCCTTCAAATAGTCATCTACCATTTATGTCGAGCAGTATTCCGGCATGGCCATGGTCAGCCTGTCCTCAGTCTACATTTCACAACTGTTTTGGACGATGGCTCTTGTAGAAATGTTATAAAGATTTCAAAAGGTTTTATAGTACCAATCAGGACATTCCTATAATGTGACCCATCAATGACAATAAATGTCAAAGCCGTTTTTCTGTTTTGACTTGTGCCATATGTCACCCTATAGCTTTAGGTGAACAACTGACTTGCCTTTGCGTGTGTGTTGGATGAGCGGCACGGTGTAGGATACGCTCACCATTTTCTATCACCCGGTTTCATTTCATGAACACTTGCTATGATAATGTGGATTCTATAATTGCGTATACACAGAACACACTGTTAACACAACACAACAATACGACCATCTGAATATATATTATACACATTGACGTTGAAGGTAACATCTGTGACACTTCACGGTTAATTAAAAACGCATTATTTAATTCCATTTAGCTGGGAATGCATTTCCGTGTCATTGTCAAGTGACAATCTGCGTCACTACAGAAAATAGGCCATTAAGAAACCCATGACAATCTAAACGTGTCGTGGGCATTATAGTTGATGATTAAAAACACCATGACATGACGTTTTGTTAAATATGTCACAGATGCTATTTTAATAATTGAATGGTGTCCCCCGACGTGATATTGCTCGATAGTGCTAAAAGTGGCGTAAACCTAGACCCACTCACTCATCGTTAAAGAATCTGTAGGTTAAACTATCTGCTTTCCTTCGTCAGTGATGGTATGACCGGTAATCAGCGTATTCCGTATACGGTCGTTGCCATAATGTTCAGCCCTTAGATACCCCAGCCAGAAACGTCATGCATAAAGCTAGTTCTATGACCATGCACATTACATGGGCAGGCACACCTGTGTTTGATGGCTAAAAAAGAAACAACCTGTTTGAAAACATTCTGGAGAGCTCAATCCTCCGTTGATGAACCACCTTACTTGAACGGCCACGATATCACTTCAAATTGTTTTACCAGTATTTCAACCATGAGTTGTCACTGACGTTGAATCGGTTACCCTTTGTAGCACCATTAAAAGTACTTCAATGCACATCATACTGTCCCTTAACTGGTCGAATAAAGTTACAAATTCGCAAAAAGCTTTCAAGTACCTAGGAGCTGAATAAACTACAGAAAGAACTTGATTAAGCACCCCCTGTAGTTTTGCAAAGATATGTTGTCAACAAGCACATAAAACATCTCGTGGTGTTCCCGATGGAAAAACATGAGTTTTTCTAACCCGTATGGTCCTTTAACTCATAAAAAACGACAAAATGATTGGAATCCATGTTGATGAAGATAATTGCTCATTAAAAAACTCTTTTTCATACAAAACCATGTCTGTACAAGTATGGCCCTGGGATGTTTAATGCTGAATTTATTGGTGAATGTGAACATTAAAAATGTCATTTTGCGTGATTCAGTGTCAATACCAAATGAAACCTCCATGTGACTGTATGACAGCCAGCCCTCTCCTCCTCATACCCCCGGTCAGCCTCCCGATCCTCTGAAGGGGCAGTCTACGCCATTCCTCGTGTAAAGCAGCCTCTAATTGGGCCAAGTTCTGTATTGGAGGATCCCTTTGTTGCACACGACGACCAATCATGTCCCAGATATGCCCCAAAGGGTTAAGATCGGGGCTCACTCAATCGTGATATATGGTGCTTAAGGGGGTGCTTAACTAAGTTCTTTGTTTATATATACAGTAATGTACTCTGATGTTGTGTGTATATATAGATGGATAGACCCACGTGCTACACCTGAGACGGAACAAATGCCCTGTCTATTGTCATACCGGACTTCCGGTTCGGAACACTATCAATAACACATGCTTAATGCCCTTGGGCTCTAGAGAGGTTTGTACTCGAGTGAGAAAGAGAGAGGAGAGAGAGAGTGGAGAGAGAGAGAGAGAGAGAGAGAGAGAGGAGAGAGAGAGAGAGAGAGGAGAGAGGAGTGAGAGAGAGGAGTGAGAGAGAGGAGGAGGAGGAGAGAGAGAGAGAGAGGAGGAGGAGAGAGAGGAGAGAGAGAGAGAGAGGAGAGGAGAGAGAGAGAGAGAGAGAGGAGGAGAGAGGAGAGAGAGAGAGAGAGAGAGGAGGAGGAGAGAGAGAGAGAGGAGAGGAGGAGAGAGAGTGAGACCGAGGAGAGAGAGAGGAGTGAGAGAGAGAGAGGAGAGGAGGAGAGAGGAGTGAGGGAGGAGAGAGAGAGGAGAGAGAGAGGAGGAGAGAGAGGAGAGAGAGTGAGAGAGAGTGAGGAGAGAGGAGGAGAGGAGGAGAGAGAGAGGAGGAGAGAGGAGAGAGGAGAGTGAGAAGGAGAGAGGAGAGAGTGAGAGTGAGGAGTGAGGAGAGAGAGGAGAGGAGGAGAGAGGAGGAGAGTGAGAGGAAGAGTGAGGGAGAGAGAGAGAGAGGAGAGAGAGTGAGAGAGAGAGAGAGAGAGAGAGGAGAGAGAGAGAGAGGAGAGAGAGAGAGGAGGAGAGAGAGAGAGGAGAGAGAGAGAGAGAGAGAGTGAGGAGAGAGGAGGAGAGAGAGAGAGAGAGAGAGAGAGAGAGAGGAGGAGAGAGAGAGAGAGAGGAGAGAGAGAGGAGGAGAGTGAGGAGAGAGTGAGAGAGAGAGTGAGGAGAGAGAGGAGAGAGAGAGAGAGAGAGAGAGAGTGAGAGAGAGAGAGAGAGAGAGAGAGAGAGGAGAGAGAGAGAGAGGAGAGAGAGAGAGGAGAGGAGAGAGAGAGAGGAGAGAGAGGGAGAGAGAGTGAGGAGAGAGAGAGAGTGAGGAGAGAGTGGAGAGAGAGAGGAGAGAGGGTGAGAGGAGAGAGAATGAGAGAGAGTGAGTGAGGGAGAGAGAGTGAGAGAGAGAGTGAGAGTGTGGTTATCAAATGACACATTGGGGTTGTACATGATTCTGCTCAGCGAGGATTCATCACAATAATTCATAACAATAATCCATGACAATAACAGGAGATAAAACAGTCCCTATGGAAAATCCATAATGTTGATCACTGGATTGTCTGGTCTAGACTCCATTATTTACAGACATATACAGCTGGAATATTGCTGAGTGTGCAGTAAAACAACCACCAACCAATTTGCAACCTTTATGAAATCCAAGTCAATCACCTGGCAACCAGTCAGAATTCACAGATCATTCGCGATGACAATTTACTTTGTACTTAACACTTCTCCAGCTGAGATCCAACATGGAAAATCCATTCAGAGGAGAATTTATACTGAGTTTATTAGCTGTTATACTGAGTAAAAATATTAAATTACAAATCAAAATTTACTTAGACATAGAACTGCAAGGGACAATAACGTCATTATAGCTTGTCACGGCGTCCCAGGCATGTCCCTTCATCTTATGTAATTTTTTATTATTCACTATAAAACATGTCTTTGCGAATGAAAGTAGCTGACAACATGGAAAAAAATATAATGTATAAAACTTGACGGTCCGTCTTTTGCATTGACTGTGTCCTTGAGAGAAAGGCACTAAACACTGTCAGATTGGTGTGACGCTTATATAATTTGTTTTGGTGGCATTCTAGAAGTTGGTGTATAGAGATGACAAAACTTTATGGGATCAGCTTATTTATTTTCACAATGGCGATGTTTCATATGCTTGTAAACGGTATAAGAGGCTATACCGAAACGTCGCTATTGTAAAACAAAGAAGTTGATCATCCATAAAGTTGTGTCATCTCGCTTATATACTAGTACATGTATACAGGCGCTTATATATGTAGATAAGTAAACTTGTGCGCACATGTTTGACAAGGGAAGGCGGATGTAACGGTCCGCTTTCACCACACGGAAACTCCCGACCTTGACAGAGATACATCCGTCAGTCTCGGGTATATAACGCGAGGAACAAAATCTACCTCACACGTCACTCCGACTGTTGAATTGCTGGAACGACATTCTATACCTTGTAAGTACGATCAACTAGAATCTTTATTAGAATAGTAGTTAAATCGTCACTGCTGCAATATACATACTATATACATACTTTTAACAGGTTGATTATACAGATTGTTCACCTATATACATGTTTCCAACATGAATAATAGCAGCTTGCTCTTAAATAAATAGGAACTTCCAAATTTAATAAATTAGAATATTTATTATCCGTTACTGAAATATATGTGAAACGACTGTAATAGATATCACATGTAAAGGAGATTATTACATTTTAGGTTATTCAGTTCCAAAAGACAGAACTGATCTGATGTGTATTTCAATGTATAGTTTGTACGTGCATGCCGTGTCGCCGTGGTCTTTGTAGAGAGGACTGATTGACTGAGGGGCGGTTGGGTAGCCTAGTAGTTAAAGCGTTCGCTCGTCACGCCGAAGTCCCGGGTTCGATTCCCCACATGGATCGATGCAATGTGTGAAGCCTATTTCTGGTGTTCCCAGCCGTGATATTATTACTGGAATATTGCTAAAAGCGGCGTAAAACCGCACTGACTGACTGACTGACGCTGCCCCTGTCATCGGGTGTTGCACGTAATACTGGCTCTGGATGGTATCTGGGTATATATATTAACTTTAAGTAGCAGGCTGATGTGTGGATGGGGTCGGACTGGGAATACAATTTCTCAGTTTCGTCAATTTATAATTAGTCAACTATTATCCCAATTATGAATTGTAAAACAGGCATTTCTGATAAAACTGTCGGGCAAAAGAAAGTGCCAACTTACAAAATGTATTTGACAAACGTCACAAACATTTGTAAGCTGAAAACAATCGCCTGTGCTTGTACGTTTCATTTTGAGGACTTTATTTATCAATAAACTCCACTTTAATTTAATTCATTTACAAACTGTTACGACTTGAAATGAGTACGTGATTTAATACTTGAAATTTAGTTATTCAAAAGATTATGGAATAGGTATGTAATAGTGTTATGTCTTAATGACACCATGCATTTATCTATTGCTGCATTGTCCTCTGACCATACGGTTGGCTACAGACAGACAGACAGTTAGACAGGCAGGCAGACATATTATTAACGTCTTACTCTTCAATCTACTTATTTGCATAGAATTTTGTATACGTGGCACATAACATTTTTGCAATGTATTAAAAATATATTACTGTGTCAGCGCTATAGCTGAGCGATTAATGCCAGACCATATGTATACCATGCTTCTCAATGATGTATGTCAAACAAAGTCGTATCAACATAACAGGTCAGGTTTGAGGATGCTAAAGGCTGTATGTGACTGTTGTTTTCCCCTGCAGGCACCATGTGTCGCCCCATGCTAACCCTCCTCGTCGTCGGCCTCTCCTGCGGTCTACACTCCGTCTTAGCCCAGGACCGTAAGTAAACAGTTCATACTTACTTCCATAAATGTATTTATAAACTCATTCGTTCTATGTTGATGTTTAGGAGAAGCATTTATATAGGCTGATGAAGCATGTTTGCTGGTCCCTTTTCCTTTTGTATTTATTATTCTTCATTGTATATTATATGTCTTTCGGGAAATACAATACTGTTTAAATCAAACAGTTCATACATTTTCGTTTGAATTCTATGTGAAAGGTGAAACAGACAGTGCATGTCCAAACCCTGACACTCCATAAAAATAATAAATATTTTCTTAGGGGCACTTCTTTTGTTGTAAGGGCACTTCTTTTGTTGTAAGGGCACTTCTTTTGTTGTAAGGGCACTTCTTTTCTTAACTCTTTGTTGTACACTACTTTGTTGTAATACTTCTTTGTTGTAAGGGCACTTCTTATGTTGTAAGGGCACTTCATATGTTGTAAGGGCACTTCTTATGTTGTAAGGGCACTTCTTTTGTTGTAAGGGCACTTCTTATGTTTTGAGCACGTTAACTCTGTACATACCAATACGTGTGAGAAGCCCAGTGTTTCTCTTGTGTTTGTGTTTTATTTGAATTTAGTTGTGTCGTAAAGAGAATTGTGTTAACAACAATTACCTGATTAAAATTGCAATTCAAACGTTATTTGTTTAATATTGTTAATAATATATTATTATTGTTTTATTACTTTACACAGGTAAATGTTTAAATGGCCTCCCGTTGTACTGAACACTCCGATAATGTAATGTGTGGTTTGATTGCAGCATGCAGCTCCCTGGACGCCGGCCCCTACCTGGCCACCAAGCCCACCCTCACAATGCGGGTATACGAGGCCACTCAGACAGGTGAGTCGACAAATAGTAGGTGTCATCGTCGGAAACATTGTCGGAAAACATGTATATCCCCTATCTTGCCGTGTTGTCGAGTGCAGGTATGTTTACATGAATTATGAAATTATGAAATCAAAACATCTGATTTAATTTGAATTATGAATTTATGATACAGGCCCTTCGTAATCAACAGATTATATGCAATGAAGAAATAAGCCAAAGGTTTAGTAAATGTTATCTGAAGTGCTTATTATACATGTATATATGTATGGTCGTTTCAACAGTTGTATTGTTGGGACAATGAACCTAGCTAAAATAACAGCCGTGCGTTTTAGACACAAGAAAATGTCGAAAACAAAATATAACAAAAATAGAAAGTTTCCAAAAAATTTAAGCTAAATATTTCCAAAGCCTAACCTGTCCTTTTTTAAAGTTACAGCCGTGTCCTGTTACTATTACGCTAATTGGCGAAAATGATTTTTTTAATGTGTTCTTTTCAGTGAAATGACAGCCAACATTTGACCGATTAACAATCTAAATATCTCTAACCATGTACACACACCCTGTCTTAAGCAGCGACTATCGGGATCACATGGTCAGGCTTGCTGGCTTGTTCTATACATGGTGTTGTGCCACAACTGCGTAGACCGATGCTCATGATGTCAATCACTGGATTCCCTGGTCCAGACTCGATTATTTACGAACCCCCGTCATATAGCTGGAATATTACTGAAGGTTGCGTTAAACACACAGACCACATCCAAGACATGTGTGTCCAAATTTAACCCGTAGGTCATGTGACTTTAGAAAGGGCATTTTAGAATCATTCATCTTTCGTTTTTCGATCGCCGTATGGATAATTTCTTTTCGTGGAACTGTAGCTTCAATATATACTCCTAAATAAATTTCCCTGATACGGAAATTGTCTATCATAATAAAAATAATAATAATGTGTCCATTTATATAGCGCCAAACTCCACACTAGGTATGCTCATAGGGCTAACAATGAAGGCACAGCACATTATTACCCCGGATAACCCAAGCTGCCTGTTAGGCGCTAGAAGGTTATAGTCATATGACTTTTTTCCACGGTAAAGCGGTAAAGACTATTCGCATTCTTAATGCATATCATCTATCCGATTAACATAGTGTAGTATACATGTTTCAACAACTCATTTGGCGATACCTGATTCTTTGTTTTCAACCCACTACGACAAAACGCATACCGACATGCCAAGTAAAGATTAGTTATCGCTAGTGATTCCCGCGCTAATGCAAATATCTCGTTAAGAATAACACTGCTTCAGTAAATACAGCGACGTGTTTGGTTTCAAGTCGACAATCAGCGAAGAATTTTTTTTTAAAAAGTAGAAAAAATGGTATACATTAAATTCATTTCACCTGACACCACTCCTCACGTCGCTATAACCGCGTCACGTTGGATGCCTTCATCATGTATTTGAAGCCTCTCATTTAACCGATAGAAATATCCTCAAAATGGATCAGGGTAAAAATATAAAATAATCTAAAATATAGACACAAAAAATCTTCATGTATAAATATCGGACTTATTTCCAAGAATTCTGAACAAGGAAGTAGATATGAAAAGAATCACGTGTCAGCCTGTCCCTGACTCAACTGCTGCCGAACAAGAATACAAACGTTTTACACCAGCCTTTAGCGCTCCCTGGCCTGAGTCAACATGTCCGCGTTGGCGACTGAGAAAAACGATTACTCAGTATTCCAACCCTGATCTATCTTTACAACTGTTTTATAAGATCACATCCTGTTACGGGTCCAGTCCGAGGTGTTCCAGGTAAATGTCCGGGTCAAAGACTCACACATCCCGGATCTCTGTCCCAACACATACAACAAAGGCGTGTCACAACCGTGTTTCTTAGAAGCGTTGGATTTATATTGGCTTAAGTTTATAGATAAAGTTCTAATTCATTTTATCTATAAACCGTCTGTGATAACTATTGACAATGTATTTTGTAGATTAAATATAAAGGTTTCTTATTTCTAACCGTCACACACTATCTGCCACCCCACACCAACACAAACCTACGAGCAACCGGGGTCGTTATATACACATAGTCACTTTCACTGTTGCCCCACTCAGTTGAAGCCGTGCCCTCAAGGTGTGATGGCTGGAAAAAATTGAATTAACTACAAAATATTTGGTCTGCTCATAAGACTGTTGATTTCATGCGTGGATTTAAGTTTTTCCGTAGTCCGTATTGCATGCGTCACGTGTATGCACGTCATGATTAACATCTCTGAATAGATTCATGTTCCGGTACAAAACCTGTATTACACATACGCCTTCAGCCGAGGCGGACGGAATTCCAAGGTGAGTCCGGTTGAAGGTGAAGATCCTGATATATCTGTATAGCTTTTACCGGAATGCCGAAATAGGATATTATTCTGTGAACAACGAAAATAAAGTCATATTGCGTTGTTTTTAATAATTCTCATACAATGGAAATTTTAATACCGAATGCGTAATATAGGCAGTCAGGTAGAGACGCTCAGTCACGTATGACAATACCGATACGTATTGACACACACAATCAGTTCATTACAGAGGTACTACTGTTGCATTCGGTTGTGATACAACATTACGTAGATTCTAAACATATGCTTCCAAAACATAATTCATTTATATGATCATTTTACACAATGACGTCACAGCTGAATACCCTGTACATTCACTCCGCCATGCAAAGCGGACACTGACTAATCCTTAACCTCGGCCATCCGGGTTCCTAATCTGTCATGTCATGTGATCACCAGGGTAAATCTGAATTAAGCGATATTTCCTGAAGTAACGTGTGTTAGATTTGGGATTACACTTTCTCAGTAAAACATTCAAATATTTCGTAAAATTCACTCCATTTTATGGGCGCTGTTACTTAGTCAGTAATTACAGTGAAAGTGAAGTGATTGCAACCCAAACCCGGCCCTCAGTAACAAGCATCCTAGATATAGATAACATACACCTGAATTATTCCAAATAATTGAAATAAAACCATGTGCAGACATGTTTGATTGTAACAGTGATGTATCACTACAATTTTGGTTTGGCCAGATTCCAAGGCACATGCTGTAATTTATTAAGATTAATAAATGTTAATTAAGATAAAGACATTCTATAATATAATCTACCGTGACACCTTCAATCTTAGTACTGAATGCTAAGTCCATGGATGTATAGTAATTTTATCCTTTAAAGTGAGTGAGTGAGTTGAGTTTTACGCCGCACTCAGCAATATTCCAGCTATATGCCGGTGGTCTGTAAATAATCCAGTTTGGACCAGACAATCCAGTGATCAACATCATAAGCATCAACAGCGCAATTGGGAACCGATGGCATGTGTCAACCAAGTCAGCGAGTCTGACCACCGGATCCCGTTAGTCGCCTCTTACGACAAGCATGGGTTACTGAAGGCCAATATTCTAACCCGGACCTTCACGGGTCTTATCCTTTAAAGAGGCAAGTCTAGATGAGAGGACAGTCTAATGGCGCCAATCTGTTAGAGGGACGATGTGTTTGTTTTATAGCTACGGCTTTCAAACGTTGTATACTTTGTGTCTATGCATGTTCCTACACAGTTACACCGTCAAATGTGCCTGTGTTTATATGATGGGCGCCATATTGGACGCAACTTTTGCGCAAAAAGTTGTCTTCAAAACTTTCACGGGCTACTTGGCTATTTTGTGCCAAGCGAAACTTACCACATACAACACTTTAAACGCTTGTTCTGAAGTGGCCTTTGGTTGTTGAACATTTTCTGTTCTTGGTCCTATGCCAAAAGTCACGTGATGCGGCGGCCATATTGGATTGAAGATGTTTATCGGAAATTTGCAGATTTTGTTCGGTAGGCATTTTTCGCAAGCCATAACTCTGAATGTATGAACTGCAGAACGCTGTAAATGTGCAGATATACAATATATACCTCAAATATTAATGCCCATAAGCTATGTTGCGATATCTTGATTAGTTACGGATATCTAGATGTTTGCTTCTGTTGCTTATTTTGTACTAAAATGTATTTTCAAAAATCGCAGCGTCATAACTATTTCAACTATGCAGCTAGAATCTGCCAGTACGTAGTAACTAAGTGTGTTAAACATTTTTTTTTCGTTCTTGGGTGCATGTCAAAATGTGTATTGCTTGGCGGCCATATTGGATTTCGTCAGATTCTGATGATACTACATTCTAAACAGCATAGCTGCTCAAGTTCTGCACAGAAGGCCGTAAAACTTGGCGGTATGCATCAACAGAAGATGCTTAACATTTCGTGTTCTTACATGCATATCAAAAGTTTGATCGTTTGTCGGCCATATGGTGCATTGAAAATTGCACAAATGCAGGGAAAAGGGAAAAAAACTGTTTGAGACGTGCCCCAAATGGAAGAAAAAGAGTACCAAACAAACTCACCCACAACTCCAGGCTGAACACGCTAAATATGACGCAAACAGACTTTCAACAACGTACCAGTCATCATAAATAATGCTTACATTCAAAACCCAAAGTTTGGGCAAAGTTAACGAAATAGGTGTTTTATTTATATTTTGAAATAAAATTATCATTTAAAGTATTAATAATTACCTTAGCGACTTGTGCAAGTCTAAGCATTCAGCTACTTATATCCCTAGTCACGTTCGCTATTTCACTAGGATTTAACGAAACATTAAATAATTAAATTGATTAAGTATTTGTACGGGGCACTGATGGCCGAGACGTGCAGCTGTGCAGAGTTGCGTCCCTTGTTTGGCACGCTAGAAACCTATGATCTTTGTTTCGGGAAGGGCACCAAACGCAATTTGACAGCGCGATGAACGAGAACACGTGTGAGACCTGCATCAGTTAGGCTTTATTCCCTCATTAAGTTGATATGCGGTGATATAACTGGAATACACTGGAAAGCAGCGTCAGTATAGTCACTCAGTATATATTTACGTGATGTAACGTTCTTCAATCCTCTCAATTAACCCACAGTCACTGTGTTTTAGTGACATTCGTAGTCATTATAAGTATCGAGGCTATAAGTCACCTGCGACATGGTCACTATCTCATACTGTCAGTATCATTTAGGAATATGTAGCCCAATCAGTATCGAGGCTATAGTCACCTGCGACAAGGTCACTATCTCATACTGTCAGTATCATTTAGGAATATGTAGCCCAATCAGTATCGAGGCTATAGATACCTGCGACAAGGTCACTATCTCATACTGTCAGTATCATTTAGGAATATATAGCCCAATCAGTATCGAGGCTATAGTCACCTGCGACAAGGTCACTATCTCATACTGTCAGCATCATTTAGGAATATGTAGCCCAATCAGTATCGAAGCTATAGATACCTGCGACAAGGTCACTATCTCATACTGTCAGTATCATTTAGGAATATGTAGCCCAATCAGTATCGAGGCTATTAGTCACCTGCGACAAGGTCACTATCTCATACTGTCAGTATCATTTAGGAATATGTAGCCCAATCAGTATCGAGGCTATAGATACCTGCGACAAGGTCACTATCTCATACTGTCAGTATCATTTAGGAATATGTAGCCCAATCAGTATCGAGGCTATTAGTCACCTGCGACAAGGTCACTATCTCATACTGTCAGTATCATTTAGGAATATGTAGCCCAATCAGTATCGAGGCTATTAGATACCTGCGACAAGGTCACTATCTCATACTGTCAGTATCATTTAGGAATATGTAGCCCAATCAGTATCGAGGCTATTAGTCACCTGCGACAAGGTCACTATCTCATACTGTCAGTATCATTTAGGAATATGTAGCCCAATCAAGTATCGAAGCTATAGATATCTGCGGCAAGGAGACTATCAAAAATATACTCTCAGAATAACTGAGAAATAAATATGTTTCTAATACATGAGAAAATATTTGCATGTAGCATTTCTTACACGTTACGTTTGTGAAGCAGTCGTCTGGTTGATGGCTGCCAAGGCAACCAATGCAGCTGCTTTTGTGTAACCAAGACCGTGACGGGCGACTATGTTTCAAACACACATCAGGAGAAGTAATGCCTGAAACACTTCACACACCATTGCAGCTTCTACTTGGTAAAGAATTGCATGTGAATATCTACATATGGTATGCTATCGTTACTTGGGCCAGGAAGACAAGAGTTTTCTCCCTTGATCTAAGTTGAAATTGCTGTGGTGTTGTGTCTTCTTGCCAGAGCAGCGAGGCATGTTGAACTTCAGTTGTCACAATATAAGCCGACGTGTTATCCATTTGAAATCCTTGCCAGAAACCTGGGATCGTTGGATCGAGACTCATTTTCTGATTTAGTTTCTTAGTTTGTAAACACGAAGCCCCTGCTCAATAGGGTGATAAACGTGTGTGACCACTTGGAGCTTCCAACACTTCCCACATTAGGCTGACACTCCGTGATATGACAAAACACCGTTTTAGCATTAAACCCAACTCACTCACTCACTCACTCACTCACTCTGTGCACAGAACTGGACCAGTACCCTAACAGTGACAAGTACAAGGATGAACTGAGACTGACCGGGTCAATCGGAGGACCTGCCCCTGCTGGTATCACCCTGGAGGTCATGGGCAACTTCCAGCTCTTCAATCCCCGGGATGTGTTTGAGTTTCAAACCGAGGCTGTGACAGGAAAGAACCTGCTGAAGCTGGTGAAAGCTGTTGATAGAGATGTACGTAAAGTAGAAAAGTTGCCATGGCAATCACAATCATGACTTACATTCATACCTTTGAAACGAAACGTGTGTTACTTTCATTGTTGTTTTAACAGTGGTAGGAACTCGATGTCGCCAAATGTCGGCCATTTTGTATGATCACGTGACAGGTAAACACTGTACAGCCAATCCACTTAGAATCAGAGCGCCAAAGTCGCTGTACAGAGCGTGACATTGAACATGCGAAGATCCTATATGACCATCGTAGAAACCTACATATGCCCTGTGGTCAATGTCCTGTCAACAGCATATCCAGGTCTCAACATGACTACTTAATGTCAGAGATTTTGAAACTGTATCATACGACGTTAAATCCAAATCTTGTTAATCATAATGCTCACCATAGCCACCAATATTTGACCGTTTCTATTTAACTCGAGTTTAATTTTTCGACTGCTATGAGTTCTGAAATAGCGGGTAATCACCGGCTTCTTGAAATGTTTGATGGCTGTTTAGTTGTCCATGTCTTTCATTTCTTCTCAGCGAGATGAATCGGTTACTACAAACTGACGTTTTATACGTTATTTGGTTCATGAACAATATTTATGCATTGGTTTTTCTCACCCCACAGGGACCAACTGATGCTCTAGATGATGACATCAACATGTTCAGCTTCACCCTTAAATGTTCCCCTGCCTCCAACACATCCATAGAGGTGAGAATCTTCACAGTTTAACTGCAATTTGAAATGCACACATGGCACTGATTAATTCAGCCATAAACCTTTGAAAGGTTCTCTCCAAATATGTGACTTTAACCGTATGGCATTCAGCTCGTTAACCATTAACAGTGATCTTGACAACGCATCATATCTGTCTTGATGGTAATAAGTTACCACCGGCGACTTGTATGTCTCCAGGTCTACTATGACGTCAGGATTCAGATCATGGACGTCAATGACAACTTCCCCAGCTTTGTCGGAGCTCCCTACAGCGCAACAGTCAACGAGGTAGGTAGATTGCCGTTAGATTAAGATGGTAACTCGCAACTTAGCTTTTGAGTTACGGACGACAATAGCTGTTTTAGATGGTCGAATAGGAACCCATGACTAGCCGTTCTTCATAGCCCAGGGTAGTAAATCTGCCTTACGGGTTGCCACATTTCACCCGTCCATACAAGAAGCTGAGATAAGTGGAATGAAATGGGGCTTATCATCGCGTTATAAGTCATAGCGACATACAGCCATCTTTGCATGTATGTGTGTGTCATTGTTTCTGTGTGTCTGCCTGTGGCTGCATGTACTAGAACAGATTAATAACCCTCCGTCATTGTCAGAGCATTTAGGTCTTCCAGCTTACCTCTGTAAAGTGAGTGAGTTAGTGTGTTGGATTTAAAGAATTTTAACGACGTTGTTAACAGTATTCCTGTTATACTGTGGAGGCAAGTCCAGGAAGATGTCTGATCCAGGGTCTGAGACGTTTATATCCTCGATAATCTCCAGGGTTATACGTTCCGATAAATCTCCACTAATACCTGGATGCATCTACGGCTCGGCCCGATAATTGTATTACCTCCCTTTGCTGGATTTATATCCAATCAGGTGTCTACGCTGGGAAGTCGAGCGTACCAATCACACGGCTTCTATCATAACTCACTTTCCCTTCTTTTATGTAACCGATTAAACTTGGCAACACATTTGTTGCAGAAGTACTCTGAAAGAGGTAGAGGGAGTTCTGCACGTATTTTTTAAGGTTTCAGGCCTGTCAATTTGTCTGTATCATTTTTCCCCTAAATCTGAGTCGCACAGCGAGCAAACCTTTGTTGACACTTGCAAACTCGCTTATGTGATTGGCTACTGTGAGAAGGCGATCCAGCAAAGGGAGGTAATAAAATTATCGGGCCGAGCCGTAGATGCATCCAGGGTACTAGTGGAGATTTATCAGAACGTATGCCCTGGAGATTATCGAGGATGAGACGTTTACCGCTGTGGTGAAACCCACAAGCATGGGTATAGTACTGACAAACCTGGACAAACAGAGCGAGACGAGACTCGAACTGGCGATCATGGGTTTCTTTGTGCCCAAAGGACGCTGAAGTACGTCAAATTACACTCTCACAAATCTGCTTTTCTTCTTCAGCTCACCCCAGTGGGATCTACCGTCCTCCGCGTGTCAGCTGTTGACATCGACTTCCCACTAACCAGCAACGTCACTTACTCCATCGTGCCCGCTATCGTTGATGATGGCAGCAGCATGTTCGCGATCGATCCATAAATGGTGACGTCACTGTTGCAGTCATGCTGAACTACGAAGGCCTATCTCAAGGCCATGCTTATAACCTTGAGCTAATGGCCACGGTGAGAGATTTATGTTATTACGTAATCGTTGTGTCATTGACAAATATATGGGCTGGTTTTAAGTGCGGCCATGTTTAGGCTGACCATTGCTGTGGCTGAGGTTTATCTGAAAATACATTGTTCGAGAAAATTATTGAATAATTTAGATTTTATCAAAAACACGCAGCGGTTCAATGAAAACATCATTGTCCTGGTTTTGGTCGTTGTTTTGCATTACCAAAAACATCGTTTGTCTCCTCTTTTCTTTAAGTATTATGTAACAGACCTATTCCGTCGATCTATTAATGCCTGAACATTAAAGGGTTTGATTGCCAGCGAAGGGAAATGTGGCAAAATAGCTAACATAATATAAACATAAGCGGATGATGTCGCTAAGATGAACGCTACCAAGCGAGCTGTCGGTCATTTCCTGATGAACGTCAGTATGTCGTGTGGTTACGTTGTCAATCGAGACTAGGGATACAGAACTGTCAATACTACGTGAGGCACTGTCTTCATCAACTGCTGCACGTCAACAAATAAAAATTTAAGTGTAGCCAAGTCATTGGTGTACACAGTATCTAAAGTGCTGATACCCGGAAGCGCACCTCCACGAGAAAGATGCTACATAATTGTATATTCGTTATAGTTCAAAGAATTAGTCTCCTAAACAGTTCATAATACACGTCTTTCTTTGCGTCCCAGGACGGTGACGTTGATAATCCAAAGAGCGCCAAGGTCACGGCGAAGGTGACAGTTACTGACGGAGATGACCAGGGTCCGGCTTTCGAGTACGAGGGATGCTTCAGACACAAGGGCGTCTGTGCCTGGCCCAAATATACTTCATACGCCAATCAGATGAAGTTGGTAAGTCATTGCTTAGTATGCTAAAAAATAGATTTACATTATACGCAAGTTTGACCCCGCGACCATCGATCTTATGTGTTTACGCCAACTGTCCACAGGGAGAGCCAATCACAGTCTATCCTGTTCCCAACAAGATCGGCCAGCCAGTCAGCATCAAGGCCAGAGACCTTGACCCTTCTATGTCGGAGGTCAAGTTCTCCATTGCATCAAGTAAGTACATGCAAAGGAAATGAATGAGTTGTTGTGTGTATACTGATATAATATAGGTGATAAAACCTGTGTGCTTTAATATGGTGTAAATATTTTTGGTATCAAAGGTTACATGACTAAGATCACCATAATATATATGTGCACATGGATTGGAGGGAAATAACTTTTAGCGTCCCTCTAAGATATTTAAGTCACATTAACAGGGAATATTATTTCCAAATATATAGCAATATCATAAAACTGATTACATTGTGTTCGTGATGCCTACATGTGAGGGAGTACGGTTGTCTGTACAACATGTGGAAACAGTATTCAGCAGCTTGAATTGATAATATTATAACACTCTATAAAGTGAAGCTATTGAATATTCAGCTAATGGCGCAGACACCAGAATGTATATGCAGAGAGGATCTCTATTTGGACAACTCAAGAATGTATTTCTCTGGTTCGAGTACACATTTTGTAGAGTAATGATTTAGAAATGACGAAGAAAGAGTTTTGTTGTGCAAATTCTGAATCTCTGTTTGAATGCTGAACAAACTGAAATAAGAAAGGTAATGATGAAAATGTAATCCTTCGTTTCAGCTATTCCACCTGGCTTTGAGTCCCACTTTTCGGTTGCTACTAGTCATGCAAGTGGCGCCTTCTACACAGCAACAGTCAAACAAGAGACGGCAATCACTGTCAGCGAAGGTTTCGAGATCTTCCTTAAGGTGATTATAACCAGACAACCTGGAGGGTCGGAATAACACTCGTAAGGCTACCTGAAAACCGACTTGTCACTGACTAAATAAATATCAATGTTGTATACAAGTTTAGGTTATGAGTCAAACTGGTAGACGTTTTTTTGAGTGAGTGATTCTAGGGCGTGCATTCCGTCTTGCATGTAATCATATTAAAGTATCCCTTTCTTGTTTGTCCTAGGTGGAAGAAACGACCGGCAACAAGAGACATGAAATAGCAATGATATATTTTCTGGTGAGTTGAGGGAGCCTAAACTGTATGTTTACATTACTTGCGTAATATACGTAACCCCCCGCTGAATACCTCTTGGTAACATGTCACGGTTTGTCGAAACCTGGTCAAAGGATAGTATATCTGACATCTGTCGCAGGACTCCGGTGAAAATATTGACGATTATTAAGTTCTAAGTTACACCACATGATGTTGTGACAGATTGTGACACCAGGTGTCAACATCCACTTTGCTACTGTGAAGCGCGGTATTGATATTACTGTCAAGGTGACACTACCTCTTTTTCATATAAATATTTATATGAACAAATATGTTCAGTATTCTAAAATTTTAACACATGTTATTTTTGGGATTACATTTTCTCAGTAAAGTACAGATTCTAGTACCTTTGTTGGGTTGAGTCCCATCCGGGAGTCAGGCACCTAATCGCCAGCACACAAAGTCAGCCGACTAACCAACTCCGCCACCGCAGAAGCCCAAATATAACATGTGTTACTTTTGATCACTTTCTAAATGGCATTTAGTATTCATTCTAATATGGTACTCTATATTAAAACAGGGCCAAAACAAAGGTGGTTCTCCCGGAAGTCAGACTACACAAAAACCGGCTTCGGAAACAGATCGTCAAGGTCAGAGTTGTTTTGTTTTTATTTAGATGTTATAGAACGTAAATGACATATTCATTGATGACGTCCATCTGTACAACCACAAATAACAATCCCTGTCCTGTCTCCTTCCAGTTGGTGGCCCTGACAAGTCTCCTCTCTCAACCGGCGGCACGTCTGGTGAGACCCTGGCCCTTATTGTAGTCGTCGCCATCTTGGCTGCATTTGTCGTCTGCCTCGCCATCGCGTTCTTCTGCTACATTTCTAGAAGACGGGACACCAAGGGGACCAAGTACAACCTTGAGTCCCGCCAGACGGTGCGTTCATACCCAGATATTATTTGACCTTTGCACTCTACCTACCATTTAACTTTTCCAGAACATTTAGGCATTGTATAACATCACGTTATTACAACATGGGTATTCTGTTAAAATGTGCTTTAATTATTCCGCTCATAATTGTTCATATTTTTCGATTCAGGGTACAACCAATCCAACATATTCATATGAATAGCTGAGCATGCTGCCTCAGTTAGAGAATGTTGCATGAAGAATTGACATGTTTCACAGATCACGTGACTGACTTTCAGACTGGCGGAAAACGGAATGGCACATCCTCCACTCAAATGTAACCACAGCAACGACCACTTTCAACTCAGGAGCAAGTAGTTTTGTCCTCTTGCGGACATGGCCAAATACGACTATAAAGGACTGATATATTAAGAGAGAAAATGATGTCATAGTTACAGCCGTCAGAAGAACAAGTCCCGTGATATCAACGTCGCACAATAGGTCAAGGTCAAGGTCAAGGGTGAAATATGTATATACATAGTATGGGAGTATTTCCTGGCATCTGGGATGTGACAAATTCCCAGACACGGGAGTACTTGTATGACTTTATCACAGCCCATTCCATATGTGACGAACTCCAGGAAATCTCTAAATTATCTGGTTATAATTGAACTGCGTTATTATCAACATAAACCCTCAGTATCTCACTGGATCAAACTACACAAGCGTTCTTAGCCTCACAACTATGTCATACTACAGTAGTTCCAACAGTCGGAGCTTTGTGTAGTGGGCTCAGGGATGGGTTTGTTTAATCGAATATTCATCTATCCGAGGTTGTACAAGAAACATTATAGTCAAATATTGGATTTTATAGTTGTAACATATGTTGTATAGTTAGGTGTGTACTATATATACTGAGAGAAACAAATTAAGGAACACGAGAAAATTCAAGTGTTCCTTTGATATTTGCCCGTTTCCATCACCAGCTTTGAATAGCGAAATGGGAGGAAGTCTGAGAATAAATAAGGGAATGCTGCCACGAAGTGGTGTTCCCTTATTTGTTTCCCTCAGTATATATGCACGAATCTGTACTTGTGTGAGTTGAGTTGGAGTATCATGTGGATATAATCACCACTTAGTCTATCTTCTGTGACGTTAGTTATCACAGTGCTGTATCAATTGCGACAGCTGTTTTTGTCCTGAACTCTATCGCCAGCTGTTACCAGTCTATATGTATTCTGCACACGTTTCCTGTGCCATTGATGTGATTCATGTGAAGTTCAAGAAAACAGAACACCAGGAGGATGCCAAACTACCGTTAAACAGACATCCTTCCATACTTCTCGTGCCATTCCGGGACAACACTTCATACCTAGCCATTATTTCATATGAAATACAATAAAATTGACATTATCACACAATCGACCGATATTTACAGTATTACCAAAGTTATCTTCAGTAACCCATGCTTGTCGTAAAAGGCGACTAACGGCATCGGGTGGTCAGGCTCGCTGGCTTGGTTGACACATGTCATCGTATCCCAGTTGCGTAGATCGGTGGTCATGCTGGATTGTCTGGTCCAGACTCGATTATTTACAGACCGCAGCTATATAGTTGTGATATTGCTGAGTGCGGCGTAAAACTAAACTCACTCACTCTAATGACTGGGCCAGTTTAACAGAAATTGTAAGTACTATAGTTTAACTAGTCATTTAGCCAATATATGTCTTGACTCAGTTTGTTAATGTGGTTTCTGAGAGTGACCGATCCAAAATGTTGTAGATTTCTATCACACCACCACTTAGCACTGTTATATCTTGAACATGCCTCCAGGTAAACTATCCAGCATCATATATCCCAGGATGAAAGGGATATATTAATCCTACAAAAACAATTACGCCATTGTGTTTGGTTAAAGATGTTTTATTTGTTATTCGTGTCGGAAAAGAATTATTGTGTTTGATGTATCTATGTCTGAATTATTGTGGCTGTCATCAAGATGTTGTTTTAGGCGGTGTATATGAGCCGACTTTGTTCATGTTGTCAGCACTGATGTTTTATCAAATTTATAAATGTACATATATTTTTGCATTAAAACTATTTCTTTTTCCACTTTTGTTTTCACTTTTGAATATCATGTTTGAAAAAGTCATCTATGGCTTTATCTTAGTTAGTATTTGAAATTATTTCATTGTCTTTGAAGTCAGTGGGTTTGAGAATGGGATGTGTGTCATCTTTTTCCCGTTTGACGTGAAATACAGAAATATGTTGAAAGATATGGTTAAAGACGCCTTGAATTCCAGCGTTTATCTTCAGTAACTGGAACGGGAACATTATAGATGGTTGCACGTAATGTGTAGACTGTTGTGTAGACAGACGCACAGATCCAAACATTGTCTTGTTGGCATAGTCGACAAAGAGACTAATGAGTGAGTGTGGTTTTACGCCGCTTTTAGCAATATTCCAGTAATATCACGACGGGGGGACACCAGAAATGGGCTTCACTAGTCGAGAAGAATTAGATCATCTTACATCAGGCGAATATGCTCTCGCAAACTCAACAGAGGCGCACTCGTTTTGTCGCTATGCGCTTTGAAACAATATTTCGAACAAAACTATTATACATTTAGGACACAAATATTGTGTTTTCAATATACACCCTTTAAAAAAACAAGCGCATAAGCCATTTTAAAAGAATTTATTGCGTTGGTATAAGAGCAATTATTTCATGTAATTTCAATAAAGGTGAAATGGCGCACGTCTAACTGCAGCCTTTATTGGTGTGTTCTGTTCACGTGAGTCCACAAGATGGCGTCAAAGTCAGTACTTTGTATGGCCATCATTGGCAGCAATTACTGCTCCGCACCGTCTCGGTACAGACTGAATACGTCGACGAAGTCGCTCTTGTGGAATTCTTCCCCCCTTTTGCAATGCGATGGCCAGTTGTGGAAGTGTCTGAGGCGTGTTTTGACGTTGACGTACACTTCGATCGAGTTCATCCCATATTTATAGTGATCGATACCACAGGCCCTCTTGTCTTTGCGAGGATTAAAGATGTTCAAAAAAACATAAAACATTTGAGCTTACCCGCGACTCGAAATGCTCCATAGTACAATGTATTGTACTGTGTAGCATTTCGAGTCGGGGGTCATCTAAAAAAAATAATTTAAATTTAATCGTTCGCAAAGACACGAGGGCCTGTGATCGATACCGCATGCTTTTCCGCTTACTTGCACGTGCATTTCGCTTTGCATGTTTTCTTGGTGACGTTTTTGCAAATATTTCTTCAACGCTTCTAAAACAAGGGATATAGTAACAAATTTCCGCGTTTTTGGCTCTGAAGCTGTTTACAATCACACAAAGATGACATTTTGGAAGAAATAGTATATTTGTATTGTTTTTGCCACAGCTACATGAGTCCAATATTCTCAAAATCACCTCTGCGTTTCTCTCTCTTTGTTTTTTCTTTTGAAGAGCGTTTAACGCTGGCTTTCCCTGGTGTATTGACACCCCACAGGCATTCACCATATCAAAATCAAATGGCCTTGAGCGTTTTAACGTTAACTTCTTTTGAGCAAGAGTCGTAGCACGCTCTGTGATGAAATCTTCGATGAAAGAGGATGCTTACTTCAAAAGGTGTAATTATGAAGCTGCGCGAATGCATTACAGGTTTAATTCTTGAATGACACCGCATAAAATGAAGTCAACGATTGTTAAATTAATTAGTTTTTGTTCCTTTGAACACAGAAGTAGACAACCCGTTCAAATTCGCTTTCTTGTCCTTGTGGGCATGTAGGCGAAGTATGACTGTTCGCCTTCTTGTCCCTGTGACCATATAGACGATGTCTGACTGTTCGCCTTCTTGTCCCTGTGACTATATCGACGTGTAACTGTTCGCCTTCTTGAATTGTGAGCGCGTAGACGATGTGTGAGTGTTCGCCTTCTTGTCCCTGTGACCATATAGACGTTGTGTGACTGTTCGCCTTCTTGTCCCTGTGACCATATAGACGTTGTGTGACTGTTTGTAATGGTTCTCTTTCTTGACGTCATGAGCCCGGAGACAACAGGTCACTTTCCAACCACCTATTACAATAAACATGTAAGAAAGTTCGCTTTCTTGTTACTTCTTGCCTTCCTAACTCATTTAATTACGCACGATGACAGATCTCATTTTGATGACACCCACTCGCTCTAAAGGAGAAAATATATGACTCAGTTGTTGATTAAGGTTTTATCTCTCAATGATTATTCACATAACTTCGACCTAATTTAATTTCGCAAATTGTCTAACCGCGATTGACAGGTCCTGTGGACTTTGTTTTGATACTACTCTCCGCGGATTGGCTACTGACTTTGTGGGCGTGTCAAATTATGTGCATAAATTAAACAATCACCTGAAACACGTCAAGCCACAGTATGTACCATTCGTCTGAATATTGATCAATCTCGTAATTTCTGTCTGCTTACATTTATATAATTGTTTTTGATTAAACTATTCGAGATATAATTTTCGTTTTTGTCAAATTTAATTATAAGGATTTACTGTCTATTTTCTTGGTTCAGTGAGGTATGAATCGAAACACCGATATGAAAACTCATTCGTACAGTTTACACATCGTACAGTTTACACATCGTACAGTTTACACATCGGGGATTTCGATTCATACAACAATGTACATTTTCAGTTTTCAATGAACGGAAACAATACACAATCAAGCTTTAATTGAATCGATTAAATTTGTATTTTGGGCCATAGGTTCTCTATAGTCATATCTGTAACTGTTCATCTGGAACATAAACATTGACATAACCCGTGAGTGTTTGTTCCACCTATGACCTGAGGTACGTATATAAAGATAATATATTTAAACACACAAGACAAACACTACGGCGACTTTTCAGGATCAGAATGGCGGATTAACGTTGTACGAGTCGTCGTTTGCGCCACGGGAGATCTAGCTCTGCCTTTGCGGTCATTCGTAAAATGTCTTTATGATTATTTAGGAGAATTTTTAAAGTTTACGCCAAGATGCGGATTTGCATGGACACAGTTTGGGTTCCCGTGTTAACGTCACTAATATGTTTTTTCTCTCGTCACTATATTTTTAACTTTTGTTTCCACTGACGTCACTAATGTGGTTTCTCCTGACGTCACTATGGTTTCATATGTTCCTGCGTTTAAAACTGTCCCGACAAAACATATAAATTAATTCTTTTAATATATACAACTGAATTTATGTTTTATCGACCCCATCACCACTGGCTCAAGTATTCGCCCGGACTTGAGTGCCAGCATTGGTAGTATTTGGTACAATGCGTGACATCCTTTCCTGTGTCCCTTTGCTGTTATATTGCCTAACCGGCGTAAAACTGTACTCACTCACTCACTCGCAGAAAAACCCTTTAGAACCCATGGCCGTTGATTGATTTTCGTTCTTCTGACGACATTGATTATTCAAACTCAATTACGGATAAACAGTACGTTCTCTCCCTATGAAAACTGTATATATTTGTGTAGAGGCATTGACCAGTTGTTTCACCTGGTGACCACAGAACTGTTGGGTAGCATTTCCCACACATGGCGTCCTTGTTCTCGGCCAACCGATTGGACACCCTGCCGGTCAAGGCGAGTGATTCACCTCTCGTGTTTCGAGTGTGTGAGTAAATATTATATACTCATGGAAACGAATAAAGGAACACATGAAAGTACAAGTATTCTTTTTCCAGGTTTCTTCACATGGTATGTATTGCACTGTTGGTGAAATTCTGGAAATAAATAAAGGAACACTTGTACCTTCATGTGTTCCCTTATTTGTTTCCATGAGTATATGTATGGCCCCATTGGTAGTATTGCGGTCATATCGTGATTATCATGTATTCGAATCCAGACAAAATAAACATCTGAAAATAGTGAACGAAGTTTCTATACATTGTCTCAACTGGATTTTGTTTGAATTTTTTGTTGTTTAATGCCGGGCTCAGCAATATTCCAGGTGTATGTTGGTGGTCTGTAAAGTCTCCATTGGACCGTGCTATCATACTGATTATGATCACATTTTGATCAAACAACCCATACAATGTCAAATTACCCTAAAATACACGATGACTATGTTTATGAGGCCTGATACCGCCTATTTGTTCAACGAAACGGTTATCCTGCTGCTATGCATGAATATTTCATGAAGACGCGTCGTTAGACGCTATCCATCGTGCAGCACGCTGGCAACCACTGCCAGCAACACACACGTTACAGGCTGGTTTAACCCAGTAAGCTGTTAGCAGCGACAATGATTTGACTATTGACAATATCGCCTGGCCTATTGCTACATGTACAGGGCGGACAAACGGTGCCTCATACACCGAGTAAGACCTTTTCTTCTACCTGACCCGCACGACCACTGACAACAACGGTCTATATTTATCCTCGCGGTGACAGGAATATGCGACAGAAAGGGTTAATTTATTAACCATGGTTGGTTTCATCGGATTAGAGAGTCTTGGAGTAAGCTGTAAATTGACTGAGGCTATTGACTTGGAGAGCGTGAAAATCGCCGGCTTGTAAACCTAGTGCGTGGCGGGGGGCACCCTAACGCTCCGGGGGAGAGAGCAAACACAGGTAAGGCACAACCTCCAGCTCTCCCTCCTGCAGACTCACGTGTCAAACGGGACGTTTACAGACTGGGGTAGCGACTATAACAGGATATGGGAAACACAGCAAGAATCGGTTCAACTGATACACATACGCACAGTGCACGTGCGTGCGTGAGTGAGTGAGTGTGCGTGCGTGAGAGAGAGAGGGGGGATGAAAGGGATTTGGTTAGTGAACCAGATTAGCGTGTAAATTACAAGATTAGCATAATTTAACGTTTTACGGTATGTTTCGATATATAATTTGTGAGAGCGCCCGTCTCTACTTACATTTTGCCGGCTCTAAAGGCCAAATGTATCAATACTAAAATCAACTGTATTGTGTTCAATGCCCAACCTTTTAACACATTGTTCCATTTATTTCATGTTTCTATATGAAGACACGTGTGGCAATATTACACCAACATTGAACTCAGCTGTCGAGCACTTTTCAAATAGGTAGATATCCCATGTATATTTTGATA